TTAATGGAACTAAATGTATTCTAAAAATTGTTTGATCTTTGTTCTTTTTTAGAATATAGTACTTATATACTATATTCATTATATGATAATAAAATATTTTTGCACTGTGCTTATTTAGAGTAAATTTGGTGTTTTGTTATCTCGATCATTTATTACTATGCTTGAATATCAATCGCTTGCTGCTTTCTCTTGCTATCACTGCATCATTTCTCTCTATATTCTGATTTGGTTGCCCGACATTTTAAATTTAAAAAGTGTGTCAGGTATTATTAATGGTTTATATCGTTAACATTTCAATATGTGTATTGATGTTAGGTATAGAGGTATGCTGAACATCATATTATCTGTTGTTTAGAGTAGATATATTTCTTTGTTTGGGCAGTAATGAAATATGTTGTGTTTGTTTTCTAATATATGTTCATAAATGCTTTAATTGTGTTGTTAGTAAATGTTATTACTATATGTTGGTTATAATAATTTTCATATGTTGTTAATAAGTATTAGTAAAATATGTGTTATGTCTGCCTTCTTTTTTTCCTTTTTTTTTTTTTGCTCTCGCTTTCGTTACTACATTTTTTTCCATATCCTCCATATCATGAAACGGTTCCTTATCAACCAGGGTACGTTTGTTTCATAAACTTTATTAACTATATCTATTATATTATTTACTAATTGATTTTAAGTATCAGCCTTTTTTTAGCTATTTATTTCTTTCAACATTTATATATACATATAATACTTATCTTCTTCTAGAATTGGACTTTACCTTCTTATTTAAAGACATTTTTTCTATTTTGCTTTGTCTTTTACTGTAGCAATGATGATGATAAGCAATTTAAATATTTTGAACTTTACATAGGTTGTCCAATAATTACTGTCAAAACTTTTTCAGTTTTTTCACTACCTTTAGGCTATGTTCTTTTTACCAATATTTTTTTTCGTTTCTTTTTCTTAATCTTCAATATTTTCTACTTCTATTATGCTATATTTAGCTTCTTGGTAATATTTGGCCATTAAAAACATATTTATAGGTATGTTACTTTTATCTTACTGTTAATACTATTTTAGCCTTTACTATTATATTTATTTTTTACTCATGTTCTTTCTTTTTTGTTAGTCATTTATGAAATCTGGGATTGAGATGAGAGATCTCATTATCTCTGTTGCTATGTTTTTGCCTCCTTCTTTCTTTTTCTTTTATGCACGAATATTTTACTTCTTTCTTTCTCTAATACTGTTTTTACATCTACTGTCGAGAGACTTTAATATTTTTTTTCTTTGCTTTATATTTTAATTTCATATTCTTCCCTTTAGGTATTTATTTTTATATTTTTTTACTAAGTGTTTATGGTAATTTCTGTCTAAATCAGGTATTTTGCTCCAGGTTTTCTTTTTCAACAAAGAGGGCCCTAAATGAGCACAATAATTTCCAAAATATTTGAGGACATCCACGTTTCATCATCGCCAACAAAATTATCAACTGCAGTATCACAAGATCCACAGAGGTAAATCAAATTTACTATTTTATATCAATTATATATAGCAACCATTTATATTATTTTAAATATAATTTTAAATCATTTTTTCCGTTTCAGCCCGCAACCAATACCAACACCACAGATATTAACACCAACCACATTTGATCTACAAACTCCTATGTCTATGAAATCAAGCACAAGGTAAAATATGTTCAGTATAACAAATATTGTCCACTAATTTAAATATATATCTAAAATCTTCCACGTTTTCGGCCTGAATCAAGAACAACAAAACAATTTAAAAAGTGTTCAAGAACAAGGTAATATAAATATTTCTAAAATCTTTATTTTACACTATATAAAATAAATATTTTTAACTTCTTTAACATTTATATTTACTAACATTTTTTTTTAACCTTTCTATCTTGCAGTTGAAAAAAAACATGATGAGAGCACACGACAACAGCAATATATTTTACTTTCTACATATGTACGTATACATGTAAATATATTTTAAATAACAATACTATATATATATATTTATAAAAATTTCAAATCTATTATATGATACAATACTGTAGTCCGTAACAAGGCGGAATACAGACTCGTGTATCCTTAAAGTAAAAGTTAAGTAAAGTACGCGTAAATCACTTTAACAGCTTAACGATGTTATTTTAATAATATTAATTGTTTGTGAGTATTTTTTAAGAATAAAATAATCATAAAAGCCACGTTAACTTTGACTGATTCACATATTTAGTATAATTATTAAACTTTTTTAAAACTTAAAAAAATGAAACCCATAAATTTTATATTATCACATTTTGAGGTAATCATAAACCCAGGTATTATTTACTTTCTCAGAAAAGTTTAATATCAGGAGCCGTAACCTCTCTCTCAGACTCTCACCCATCTATTCCCACGCCGCCGCTGACCACCAGAAATGCACCGCGGGACACGACGCCGCCGACCACCAGAAACGCACCGCCGTTGCCGGACTTTTCTTGCCGCCACCACCAGGGTATGTGATTTTCTTAGTTTTTTCTTCTTTTCTTCTTTTTGAATCCGTATCAGCCAGGGTATCTTCTTTTCTTTTTTTCTTACCGGACTTTTCTTGTTGAATCCATTATCTGTTATTGTTGAATCCGTATATGTTATGGCAATTATCTTGACTTGATTGCACGCCTTTAAACTAGTATTAGATAAGGAAGACGGCGATACATATGTTCTATTCCTGCAAAAAAAGATTGTAATCCTGGTCCTAATAATGCTGGAAAAAAGCCCATAAATGGGGTCCATTTAATGGAAGAAAAAAAAAAGAAAAAGGAATTAAGAGAGAGAAATTAGCTCTATTTTTCTTGTTGACTCCGTTAATGATGTTGTTGTCTTTGGTTGTAATAATTCATTTAAAAATAAATAGTTTTTTTAATACATATATTCTCATACACAATTAAATACATTAATATATTATTTTTGAAAATTTAAGATAAGATTCATGTATGAAACTAAATACAGTAATGTATTATTTTTGAAAATTATATTATCTTTTATTATTTTTTTAAGAATATAACAATTAAATACATTAATATATTATTTTTGAAAATTTGAGATAAGATTCATGTATGAAACTAAATACAGTAATGTATTATTTTTGAAAATTATATTATCTTCTATTATTTTTTTAAGAATATAATTCTTACTTATTACTGCGTATCAAACGCCCCCAAAAAAGAAGAGAAGTTCATCTTACTATTGCCATCATCGCTGCTCGAGAAATTCAGAGTAGCGCTAAGAAAATCTCAGGCCCATGATTTTCGGATTTCCTGCATTGGTACAATAGATATAAGAGAGAATTAGTGAACCCATCTTTTAAATGCATAATTTTAAAATTTTTATTTTTTACTCTTGATTAATACATTTTGATGTTTTTTGACCAACAGTTATTAATAAAAAATAAATAGTAAAAATCTAAAATTTTTGCATTTTATTTGTCTCCTTTTGTCTTAATATAGACATCTACAATTATTGCGAGGGACAACTATTCCAAATCACTGCTCCATTAAAAGTAGGTGCATTCAATCACTATTAAAAAGAAATAAATCCACTTATTTATGTCGTAAATCAAAGTCGGGCATTCATTTCCAGTCATCTTACCTTTAAATTCATATTATTTGTACACATATACAATAGCGAGCCAAATTATCTCGACAAATTTGCTTACTTAAGCATCGGAATATTCTCAGCCGATACCACATCCGATACTCACACTTATTTTTCTTATTTGTTTTAGAGTTCTTGGTGCTCATCAGAGGTAAATCAATATCACGGAGTTCAAAGGCATTCCTCTGTAACATTTTTCTTAAAAAATAAAAATAATAATAATAATTTAATCTCACCAATGTGCTACGATACGCGCTTCTGTAACATTACATTAAATATCAAATAGTTTCCATACGACATCTTCTGATTAGATGTAGTCTTAAAAGTCTCCTGATCATTTTATGAGGACGGAAAGTCATTAATATATAACTTGGAAGAAGTTTCAAGTTGATGCGTTATCGTCCATTAATGAACATGACTTTTCTGCTAGCTGAGATCAAACGGTTAGGTGACTCGTCAGCTCACGAATTAAAATGTTGATTAGAATGTTGCTAAATCATACTTTTGGTGTGTTAATTGAATCTTTAAAGAGAAAAGCTTAATCTTCTGCTAAATCAACAATTTTTAAAAACTATCAGGCAAAAATAAATTTTACTAAACACCTTGACCTGCTGTAACTTCTTAAAAAAAGTAAAAATAGCCCTCAAAAGTAATGCCAAACAAGCCCTAAATCTCACAGCCATGACCTTAAGACTCGTTTAATTCACTGATTCGAGAGATTTAATTTTATGTGAGAACTTTTTACTGTAACAAATAAATTAAACGTGACTGTTTTTAAATTTTTTTTACTATAACAAAACTCAAATTTTAAACTCAAATCGGTGAAATGAACGGAATCTTAAACTTTCAAAGTGGATAAGCAATGAACGCATAATTTGTCAATTATTTGCTGCTCACGTGTTGAATAACAACAGCACTCAAGGATGCTTCAACGAAATTACAGAATTGAGGAGCTAAATTAAGTCTAGATTCGAGTTTAAAATTTAAATTTTACTTCAGTAAAAAACTCTCACAAACAATCACATCTAATATTTTTACAACTAAAATCTACTAGAGTACATAAAAATATTAGAAAACTTTCTGCAAGTGGGCTTTTAGTAATGACAACCAAATGTCTAACATATACGAAAGATCCGTCTAACATATACGAAAGACCCTCATAGCTACGGTGGGCTTGAATAATTGGATTCCACAGCTAATCTCGACCATCGTCGTAAATTAGAACATCACCAGCCAAACAAAGCAAACCCAATTCAAATGTGTACAGGAAAAAAAAAAAAAAAAAAAAAAAAAAAAAAAAAAAAATTTTTTTGTCCAAAAAAAAAAAAAAAATTATTTGATCCAGCAGTAAATCATATGCCCTGCAATTCAAACTAGATGGATTTTTATGGAGATTCGATAGCCTAGCATTATGGTGATGTCCTTTGTAATTTCAACTTGCTAACCACTAGCATCACCGGACAGAAGATACCTATGAAAAGCACATGAAATAGCCAGTTCAAATACCTTGAGTTCACGCTCATTGAAGAGGTTAGAGGATCCAACGAAAATGGAAATGAAAAGTACAGACTAAATTAGCGATAGGTGTATGAACCAGCCGGGTAGCGAGCGGAAGCCGGCAAAGTAGCAGGTTCGGGCCTGGCCGTCTGATACGTCTGGTGGTAGGATGGTAGCGTATCAGAAGCATATGTTGAGTACAACCTATCAAGTTGCTCGGTTTCTCTCCTTCGCAAGGGATCAGTCTCAATCAAGTAAGCCTCTCTCCGGCTGCCAGCAGAGTAAGGAGAGCTTAAAGGAACATCCTCTCTCCTTTGAAGCGGAAGATAACGGTCCACAGTTGAACTGCCATAATAGTAAGCATAATATGGGTCCTTCGCATAAGGGTCCAAAGCAGAAGGTAATGCAGGTGGAACCTCACGTCTAGCACTAAGACCATAACCCTGATAGTCTCGCTCACTAAGGTACAGAGGATCAGCAACAGGGACTGTATCCCTCAAAACAACATTTGGAGGTCTTAAAAGCCGCTCTCTATCATAATCCCTCCTGTATGTTTCTAAGGGAGGATCGGAGATGTGAGCAGGGGGAGTCAAGTTTCTTCTCTCACCCCGGAGACCATAAGTGCGATATTCCTTTTCGGTAAGGTACAAATTCCGAGGACTCTCTTGCCTTTGCACCTCACGGTGGTCACGACGGTGATCCCTTTCATGAGCAAGGAGACGATGAGCCCTAGAATCACCATTGGCATGAGAATCTCTAGCCTGTTTTTCCCGATGTGGATGAGAGTTTCTTTTTCTTGCCAAGCGTGAATGTGATTCTCTCTCTCTCTCGTGAATACCCTGATCCCTAGTTGTTGCTGCTGCTGGTAAGCGGATGGGTGCCGAAGGGCGAATTTCAGCTGGTCGGAAAAGTGCCATGAGCTTCCTAACCTGAAGAAAAGAAAACGTTAAAACACCATCAGTGCTAAATTATAAAACAAAGAGCCCCCTCATGCATATAGGGGAAAAGAAAGGGAGGGATGCAAAAAAATTAGAGCGACAGAGATACTTACTTGTCGACCTGTAAGTTCTGTTTTGAACTTGTTTTTCTCATTGTAATTTTCTTTTATTGCCTTCTTAAAAACACTCTCAGGCAGTGGTAGGCAATCCTTGTGCACATCGAACCGCACCTGAAAATTGAAAACTCTCAGCACATAAATCTGAACAATCAAAAAACAAACAAGTATCTATTGGAAAACTTGTATATGACCTGAGCAGGGAAGGCTCCGCCAAAAGCTTTTGGCTCAAGCCTTATGCCACCAGAAGAGGATGCCTTGTAAACCCCATATAAAAGTTTAAGATCAAAATCAAACAGAAAAAGCTTTAGCCCACGTCTAACACCCAATACGTCGTCTTTTTTACCAAGTGAAACGCCCATGACATGGTAACGGAAACAATCTGGTTTTGTCTTTCCACTGCACATGAAGATCAGACCCTCAATTTTTTCTTTCTTCTTACCAGTTGCAGGGCTCTTACTTGTTTCTGCATTGTTTCCTTCATTCTTTTTGTTTTTTAAATTCCTATCTGACCCAGCATCCTTTTCACCTTTCTCAAGTTTTTGCTGGCTCTTTTCTGATTCACTGATCTTTTCCTTGTTCTCTTCCGCTTGAAGTCTCTTCTTGGCATGCTCTTCATTAGCAATAAACTTAGGTTGGTTTTGTTTTCCTGAACCATGCTTTTTACCCCTTTCTCGTTTTCGAAGGATGTTCTTTTGTTCAATGATCTTTTCCTTGTTCTTTTGAGGTTGATGGCTCTTCTCAGCACTGAACTTTTCCTTGTTCTCTTCCACTTGAAGTCTCTTCTTGGCATGCTCTTCATTAGCAATAATCTCAGGTTGGTTTTGTTTTCCTGAAACATGCTTTTTACCCCTTTCCCGTTTTCGAAGGATGTTCTTTTGTTCAATGAGCTTTTCCTTGTTCTTTTGAGGTTGATGGCTCTTCTCAGCATGCTCCTTATTGGCTATCTCCGGTTGGTTTTTTTCTCCAGAGATCTGTTTCTTTGCAACCTCCTCCTCGTTGCTACCACTTGCTTTGTTACCCTGTAACAAAATCTTTTTCTTCCTTTTCTTTGCCAGAACCAGACTGCCATTCTTTGTTATTTTTTGTGGCCCATTAACAGCCACAGATTTCTTCAGGATTTTAGATCTAGCCTTCAAAGATTTAGGGGTTTTCCTTTCAGACGACTCTGGTTTATTGGACACATTCAGAATCACTTTTGGACTAGCGGATGCTTCAGCTGGAAGCTCTGTTTCTTTACTGATTGCTTCCGCAGGAACTTCTGTTTCTTTACTGATTGCTTCTTCTGCTGGAATCTCTGTTTCTTCTTTAATTGCTTCTGCAGAATTGTCTGTTGCCTTTCTTAACAGGGCTTCTGCAGGAGTATCTGCTGGTTTACCAGAATCTTGTGTTGGACTCCCCATAGGTTTATCAGAAGCTTCCACGAGAGATTCTGTTTCTTTAACATCCATTTCTATGTTGTTATCTTCTTGTTCCAGATCTAGCAAGCACTAAACAAATCCCAGCAAACAACTTAGCAAAGTAGGATTGCCTTTTCTTCCCGAGGCAAACAAGATACAGATATCTGCAGAGTAAAGACGAATTGAAAAAATTATGTTAGGATCCTGGTTGAGTCCCACATTGCTAAAGTATGGGCTTGGCATGTGGATTTATAACCACTTGGGAACCCTCTCCCTACAAGCTAGCTTTTGAGGATGAATTCTACTCAAGGGTTATAACAATTGGTATTAGAGCATGCCCCTCCTCAGGCCTACGTTGCGAAAGGGGCAACCTGGAAAGGCCAGAGTGGGCCGCCGTGGACGTCTGTGTATCGGAAGCGTGGTGGTATGTTAAGATCCTGGTTGAGTCCCAAATTGCTAAAGTATGGGCTTAGCATGTGGGTTTATAACCACTTGGGCACCCTCTCCCCAAAAGCTAGCTTGAAGGGCGAGGGTGCCCAAGTGGTTATAAACCCACATGCCAAGCCCATACTTTAGCAATGTGGGACTCAACCAGGATCCTAACATACCACCACGCTTCCGACACCGACGTCCACGGCGGCCCACTCTGGATGGCCCACTCTGGCCTTTCCAGGTCGCCCCTTCCGCAACGTGGGCCTGAGGAGGGGCATGCTCTGATACCAATTGTTATAACCCTTGAGTAGAACTCATCCCCAAAAGCTAGCTTGTAGGGAGAGGGTGCCCAAGTGGGTATAAACCCACATGCTAAGCCCATACTTTAGCAATGTAGGACTCAACCAGGATCCTAACAAATTACTCCGCTTGTGTGTGTTCGGACCTACATGCTCTATTTAGATGAGGCATTGGAATAGAGAGAAGTCAACTTTAACCAAAGGAAAGGAAAATAAAAACAAAAACAAGAAAGAGGAATCCTTGCTCCTCTTCAGCCTTCGAGTCTTCGACAAGACATAGAAATAGTAGAAAATTAAAAGCTGCTAATTGAGAACCAGAACCAAATTTGTTAATATTAGCAACACTTATAACGTATCAACTTTAGCAACTAGCTCTTTACAGTAGTTAGGCTAAAATCAGGTTGGGATATATAGAGCTTTTCCTTTTCTCTGCTAAGGAACTTTGGTACCATTACGGTATCAGAATTATGTAAGACACCAAATGTCTCACATGGAATAATTATATGATGATTAGTGGTTTTATAAGCTCTTGGGTCCTCTCCCCTTAAAAGCCAGTTTTGTAAGTGTACGTTCTATGTGATGAGTTCCTAACAATTGGTAGTGATTCAGTCAGGTTTAAGTCGAAGCAGATGCACTATAGGCTAGATTAAGATGCATTAGTAAAGCCGTCGTAGAGTCTAATATTGATAGTCGAGCAAAGCGAAAGGCCTACCATCAGGTTAGTATTGATAATGAGGAGGTTAATAATGAGGACGGAGAACAGGTGTTCATTTTTGGTAGATTTGTTACAAACCACCATGTCAAATACAAGATCTGACACCCATTCCTATGATCTTCACCAAGGATGGAGCAACTTGGGGAGGACTGCTACTTGATAGAAATCTAAATCCGCGAAGTCACCTAGCTGGGAAGATTGGCTTCCATGGACGGCAGTTGCGGAGTGTGGTGGAATGTTAGATACCATTACCAAAAGTCCATATGGAATAATTCTACAATGATTAGCAGGTTTATAAGCTCTTGGGTCCCTGCTCTTGCAATTCGATTTTGCAAGGATGAGTTGTACCTAATATTTCATAACAATTGGTATTAGAGTCACTCCACCATGTAGAAAGTTTAAGTGGAAGCGGTTGCGTAATTGGTTGGATTAAGATGCAACGGTGATTCATTAGCCCC